GAAAAATTAACTTTGTATGATCTAAAATATGCTATTTTAATTATATATATAGCTAAGTATAATTATGAATTAATATCTAATTCAGCAATTATAAATTATTGATGTAAAGGTGTGGTGACTTAGAACAGCATCAGAATGTAGGGGGAATTGTCCGCATATATCATCATCCGACCATCATCTCCGGTCCAGCCAGTCCGAAAAATGCATCAGAAATGAAGCTTAGCATACTATATCGATATGTTCATACCACATAATTTGGAAAAAAAAAATGTGCACAAAAATTTTTTTGTATGTATGCACATGAAAAATAATTACTATATATGTTAATAATGATAAGGATTTTTATAACAAGTATATATTTTGTTGCATGCAAAGTTATTTATTTAAAGACTGGGTGCGATATTGTAATTTTATAATATTGAAATTTATAGTAAAATTAAACCATAAATTCTATTTTAACAAAAAATATCACCACAATAACAAAACCCAACCTGACTACTACATATAAAATCTTGAATAATATAAAATATAAAGAGCTTTATATATTTTATTGCAAAAATAAAGTTCATAGTTTTGATCCATGCCATGTTTGACTTCGTAATCGTCTATGCTGTGCTGTTTCAATATCATCTAGTATTGTAAATAGATGGTCTAAATTATCAACAACCCATGTAACATGACGCAAGTTATTGGCTGCAAGTTCTTGTTCAAGGTGTTCTGTCATACGTTTAATGGCTGCTACCTTGAGTTCACAAACATTGTGTATATCCAAATCAGGAATATTACTATCTTCGTCTGTTTCGAAAAACCCACCATCCAAAATGTTAGATTGTAAAATTGAAGATTGAGATATACTTATTTCCATAAATTTGTTTTGTAAATTTTTGGTGTTATATATAAGAAAAGGATAATCTTCACACCGCTGAAAATTGTTGTATAATAATTGAATACCTTGTGGATCAGTTAATCTTGCTTTATCAACAGCATAATTAACTAGATGCTTACAAATAAGGAAACAGTTACAAAGAAATGCGGAGCAACTACAAATCCAACGATTTAAATCCACAAAATAACGGTTCTTATTTCTATTAGCAGGTGGTCTTATTAATAGTTGTTTCCAGTTATTTTTGAATTCAGTAAACCAAGAAGGTGCTATCCATCCTGAACGTATTTGATTAAAACGAACAATTTGATTAGGAACTATACGTGTACAAATAATCCAAAGAAGGTAATCCAATCATGGTTGATTGAATCTATAAAGATAACAATGCTTAATGACTCTCCAATGAGATTTAACAAGCATGTTAGTTTTATTTAGTGGAATTGTAGTTCGTGTCGAATGGGCCCAGAGTACCCATCTTGCTATTTTGTACCATGATTGCCACATATATGCCCAGAGTAAAGTAAGTTGATTCTCAATACAAAACTCATAAATCTCACAAACCGCATGTTTTCGAATTTCACTAGCTGTAAGAAATTGCCCTGCTGCATTAATTAGAATTTTCGGATGCATATTAAAATGCTTTCTAACTATATTTATAACTTTGTCTCGTAAATGCAGTGGATATATAATATAATACCTGGGATCAGTTTGCTCAAGATCAGGTTTAAATTTAGAATCCACAAAATCAAATTCTAATATTACATCATCCGTGTGATATTGGTTACGATATATTCATTTACGGCTTTTAAGTTTTCTCTAATAGCTTTTACTCATCAAAATATATGCATATTAAAGAAAAAAACAGCATTAATATGCAAATTTCTATTAAAATTAAATAAAAAGACCACAAATATACAACACGATAACTAACCTTCTCTATATGCCACAAACAGAGTTGTATATTGACATTAGACCACACTTCCTTTGCGGCATTGATTTCTGAGAAATTTTTGTCTATATAAAAATATTGTGGTTGTAACCCCTTGTTACGAAGTGAATGAAAAAAACCAATAAGCACCATCGTCTGTAACCCTGATTGTTCTTCATTATTCTGTGCCTTTGTAGTATTTAAAGCAAGATAAGCTATAGGAAAGCCCGCTCCTTCAAAATTTCTAATAATTCCATAGAGTTCAAAACGGCCCTTGGCCATTTTGTAAATTGCATCACAATGCATACTTGATAATGGTTGCAATGTGGCAAATAGAGAAGTTGTAAATCCGATAGCCGTAACCAAGTTAATATTCCATTCAAAACAAAGTTCACTAGCATTAGTATTGGGTCCTTCAAAAAAATTATAAGCAGAAATTATATGATCGTTATCCGATTTGTATAAACGTTGACAATATATTAACTACCAATAATGTATTTGTTTATTAGTGGTAAGTAAAACATTAAATTTTTGACGAAGATGTGCTCGTAACTGTATAGGATCTATGTGAAGGTTTTGCATGATCTCATATTTTACTTCAGGTGGCGTTGTTACATCAATAGGTTTCTTATGCTGAAAATCATGATGAAACCTTATCATTACCTCTCTTGCTGGTATATCAATACGAATTATTAGTTTACTATGGCAGTCAAAACGTATGATTCTTTTCCGGTTAGATTCCTTATGTTCGTGCTCAAGTTCCTGACATTGTGAGCAAAAAAGATAAAATAAACCAACTCCATGATGGCGTAATGACATTTCAGGTCCAGTTGTAAAAACCCAATTATATCTGTCAAATCCCTCAATCTCATCCACTATTAACCTTACTACATTTTTTGCTTCATATTGTGCGGTGTTTAATACAATATCGTCAAGTTCAACATGAAGATTAAAAAGTAGCATGTCATTATTCCCAAGATTAGCAAACTTGCTAGTAACATACTCAATAATTTTGGTAAAAGAAACATCATCGTAAATTACATCTAATTCATTTTCATGATTATTATCATTAGATAAAGGTCGTTTTTTTAAATTTCTCTTTCTTGACCTCATGTCTAAGCAATTGGAACAAGTTTTATAATTTTTGCCTTTATAAATAAAGGCTTCTGCAGGCAAATCATTCTTGCAAGAAGTGCAATAATTCATATGAAAAAAAAATAATTTAGAGAAAAGCAAAAAAATGTTAAATTAGCAAAATTTAGCGCAAAAAAATAACAATTGATTTATTATTAATAAAAATGGTTTTCCTTGATAAATTAAATGATGCGCAAAAACAATAAATTAGTAATATCGATATAAACAATGATCGGATCAAAAATCGATCAGAAGTCCGGAATGACGTATGCGAACAATTCCCCTACACGCAGTGCTTTTCGGCAACTTAGTGTAATTGGTAAGTTGTTGTATCTCCAAGCGGCAGGACGAGAGTTCGAATTCCACTGGCGATAAAATTCGAATTTGCGAAAATGCATTACAGTAAAACTGTATAATATATCAATCGGGTAAGCACTTGTGACTTTGGTCTCACTAACTCGCATTGTGAGGCTGTAGAATGTAGTGTAATGCATAAGTTATACGAAACCCAAGTGAAGCAGCCAAATAAATCCAAGAGATCAGAGATATGGAAGCCTACTTGGGAAGTTCCAAGTAGAGAAGTAGCACAGATCTTCAATGGTGCTACGTAAAAGATTATTATCTTGGAAACCGAACACCGAAGGCAAACTGAATGAGAACTGAGTATTTGGCAAGCACTATACCAACCAGGCCGCCGGACAACCAGAGGAAAAAGAATTCATTCAAAATACCAGAGAACGCCCACTAGTCCCTTTCAGGCCATCTGGATTAGAAGTTTGAGATACCGACAGTTGGCATCGAAGTACTGTTGATAGTCTGTAAAGTGGGTGCTAAGGTTTGGATGAACTTTGCAAGGGCAAGGAGTAAGTAATAGTAGCAGAGGTAAAAAGCTGCAAGTACTTGACCACAGCCTAGGCATAAATTACTGAAAATCTAGGTGATATATGTGTAGAACATGAACTGTTTATCATATAGATAAAGGACCCCTATATGATAATGTGTGTTCGCTTTAAAGTTCTAAGGGGCCTTCCTGGCAGTCCCTCTTTGATGAGAATATCTGACAGTGCTAAGTTGATTAGAGGGTTTAAATAGATAATCCCCTTAGCTGGGTTATAGATATAGCAGCTAGTGTAGTTCATATAGGTTATGTATGCAAGACTGCTTAAATAGACAACCAAAAGTTATATATATAGCTAGTTGTACCCTCGTTAATGTAACAAAGTTAGAAGTAGCCCATGTAGGTTGCTCTGATATTCAAATCAAAGTTCAATAAAACGGGTCAAACTCCAAAGTAGTTACCTTAACATTAAAAAAAAAAAAAAATAATAAATTATTGATGTAGCTTAATTCTTAATTTAATACTTTTAATTAAATAAATGTTAAATTAGCCTTTATTATAATTGTGGCTATTAATATTATATTTTAATCATAGTTTATTACTATAATTAATCATAGTCATTCTCTTTATAATTAATTATTATTTCTTGTTATAATATTAATCATTATTTCTTGTTATAATTATAATTTTATAATAAAATGATTGTTTTTATAGTTAATTGCAGTTTTTTATAATATTAATTGTGGTCTTTTAATTTAATTAATCGTGATCTTTTATAAAGTTATGTCCTCCTAATTTTATTAATCATAGTTTTTTATAAAATTACAGTAGCTGTAATCTTTTCTTTTATTAATCATAGCTATTCTTATAATATTATAATTGTGGTCTTTTATGAAATAATATTAACTGTAGCCTTTTATTTTTATTAATTGTGGCTATTTAAGATCTTAAATCATTATAATAAATCACATATAAACACACAATTCAGCATTGTATATATATTTATTAATAGTACCGGCTATAAGCATTTAGAGTTATTAACTAAAGTGAAATTAATATCAATCATTCACATTGTACAAAACAAACTTGGCAAGCTGAAGTTGTGGCTTCATCATATTATAGTTTGAAAAGCTTTGAATTGTATATGTATCGGCTTAGAAAATTTCGTTTTATCAAGTTTGTCTTGCAATTATATAAACTCCAAGAAATCATATTAAAAATTTTTTAAGAGATAATTAATTCTCTTTAAATACATTGTAAAAAAATAAAGTGTACTATTACTATATTTAAAAATATCAAGCTATCAAACCTCATTAAAAAATTAAGCACCTCTTTTATTATTTTTTGATCATTATAATGGAAACTAATCAATGCATTAGATACAATAGCATTAAGCTTATTAGCAAATGTCAGAACCAATTGGTTGAATATCAAAAAAATACAAAAAATGACAATTAGACACCAAAGTAAATGAAGAAAATCAGAAAGATACAGATAACTTAGAATTAATTGATTAGGCTAACCTTTATAATCTTATTGTACAAGTTTTAAATATACATTTGGAAGAGTTCAGCAATAATGCAGAAAATGCACCTCCAGTACATTTTTAATGTAAAATAGACATAATAGCATTTGACAAATCAGAGAAAAAAATTGCAGAAGAATTAGTAGAATTAACTGAAAATGCAGATGAATTTGTATGGATATATAAATTGCTTAAATAACTTAACATGAAAGTTAGAATCAAATTTAAAAAAAACATAATTTGAATTTTTTAAATTCGATTCCAATTAACTCTACTAATTAAATTTTTACTAATCTAATTATTTTTCAAAAGTTATTACTATGTGTATATAGAAAGATATACATCAATATATTAGTATTTTTGTTTGCAATCGAATATTCTAGCGTCAAAACCAAAAAAAACATGAGAACCTTCCAAAACATTGTGACATACCATTAATAAAATGCTTTGATACTATAAAGGTTACTATTAATGAATCAACTAACAAAGCAAAATTAATGTTAAATCATAAGTTAGTATATATACCACCAAAGAATATAGCAGTTTCTCAAGATGTAAAGAATTTATTGCAAAGAATATCAACTTATTATTACAGAAAATCTATTCACAGCTTATTGATAATGGCATTAGTCCATTAATTTAGCAAAAACAAATTCATTTCTGGTGGTCTGAACTAGGAAAAAGTAGATATAAGTGCAATAATAATACATTTAGTTCAGCATTGCAATAGCTCAAAGAAGGCTAATATAAGATAATTTTAGAAGAAACATAATCTGTTCATGTCTTAGCAATAATAACAGAGCTTCATACATATCTACTTCAAACAAATATTGATATTTACGAATGCGGAATCGATGCAATCTGTAAATGAATGCTTTATATTATCAAGTTAATACTATAAGTGTTATTTAAAATATAAGTAAATACTTAAGTGGATAATAATTGAGTATTATTAAATAATACAAATCTGATGTACTATAGTATACTACAAAACTTTAGTAAATATTATAGCTAACGCTGAGGTTGAAGTTTCAATTTAAATCTACTAAATTTATTAAAATCCATATATACTCTTTGATTAAAAATTCTAACCATAAATTTTAGCCCTAAAAAAACTAAATAAGTAGTCCAAAAAATTTTTAACAAAAAAAAAACAATTCTCAGCATTAGCCAATCTTGGCTTTAGCCATGCTAATAATATAAATAACGTTTAAAAATTTTCTGTTTAGAGATTGGATTCATTATCTATTTTAACATTAAAGTTAATATAGATATCTGCTAAATTTACTATTAAATTTAGTATTCAATGAATAACAAATTTGTGCTCTATTTTTGCTAAAATAGATGATTTTTAAGTTAATGTAATATATTAACTATTATATTTGATTTATATAATTAACCTTTCGTAGCATTAAAATAATACTGATAGGCATTGTTTTAGCCTATATAAAATTAATAAAGTTGATTATTAATATTGTAATTTATAATCTATAAATTGTAAAATAATACTTAGATAACACCAACAACTTCAAGATAGAGCTCTATTGTTTTTAGGCAGAGGTAAATGGTATAGGATTTCCACTAGTATATTTATTCTTAGAGAATAATGAAAAATGTAATATGATGGATTATATACTGCAACCATCCAGAACTTTCTTATAAAATTGCAGGATAAAGGAATTCAGCCAGAATTTCTACTTACAGACAAAGATTTTGCCCAGATTAATGCTGCACAGTTTACTTGGTATAGTATTAAAATTCAATTATGTAAGTGACATATAAAAAGGGCCCTGATGTCATAGTTAGCAAGTGATAAAGCACCTAGAACTTCTTCATTCAACCCACTATCTGAACTTAGAGCTTAATTCCTATTTAATAGTATTACACCATCACCAAAATTTTGTTCCAAGAAACACTATAAAACCATCTGAAGGATTTAGGAATGTCATGTATATATTATTTAATAGACATTTATATGTATTTATTTTGAAAAAAATAAAAGCTGTGTAAAATCTAAATTAAAATTATTATTATAAAACTGAATTAGTATATTGTAAAATTATAATATATATTTTTTAAAGCATTATTCATTGTTAAATTATTAATTTTTTAAAAGTTCACAAGTAGTAAAATTTTTATATGGGATTAACCAGTACTCTATCTGGGGTAGGATTGACAATTTTTCTGGGGTATCTCAACAACCAATCAAAACAAACTTCTGCTATGCTAGGTTTACATAATAAAATTTTAAGATATTACCGTACAGCGCTGCATACAGTACCCCAGGTATTTTACAAAAAAGCTGGTCTAGATTGAATAATATCCCAAATATCGAGAGATGGAAGGATAACACAAATAATCGTTACTAATCATTTTATACATTGTTATTAAGCATATCAAAACCAAATAAAAAGATCGCACTATTAATATGAAAACTGGACCACAAATCGCTTGTAAAAAAAAAGGTGGTTACTATTCTAGAGAGGTATTATATACAGCGCTATACGGTAATTTTTTAATTTTTAGCCTTTGTTTTTGTTATACAAGATCCTGTGATTTAATTGGCTAATCATATATGCGAGTTATATAACCAGGAGGGCAAATTAGCAACACTCTAGCATTTACATTAATGCGTATGCATAAAAAAATTTTTTGTGCATATACAGATTTCTGCGTCATCTATTAATCTCTAAGCTTTTATCGTATCTA